TCTGGCATTGACGACTTCATCTTCCCTCCCGGGCAGGCGTTCCGGTTCGGTAGCCTCGACTTCATCACTAACGACTTCGGCAAGATTTCTCTCCTCGACTCGGATTCGAACCAATCGGGAAGAGGCCAGGTTTCCGCCCCGTTCGGTATCCCGAACTCGGCCGAGATCTACTCCAGGATCATCTCAACCGAGTCGGCTTCAAACCACTCGGACGAGATCCAATCTACTCCAACACGACCTGATCAAGACGATAGAGCTTATCCCTCAATCCTGATGAAACTCCCCGACGACTTGGCTGCTGTCTTCACCACAAGGGCGTCCTCTCCCCGTAGGCCTAGGCGGGATCCGGCCTCGGCCCCGATCCAGTCTAGCTCCAGGGAAGTCGGCGTCATACTCCAGCCTCTCTACACGGTTTCGACGGAACAATTGGATGGCTACCTCAGCTCCCCCGGCATCGACTCTCGACCGACGGAGATCGTAGAGTACGACGACTTCGGCTACCGCTACGACTACCGCAACCTCGACGACTTCGATGAAGGCTACGAAGATAACTACACGCCTCTCTACTTCGGCATTTTCATGGCCGACAACGAGACGGAAGAACAGCGTCAAGCCCAAGTAGCAGAAGAGCAGCGCGTACGACAAGAAGCCGAACGTCGCCGACTGGAGGAGGAACGCCAAGCACAAGAGCGAGAGCGACTGCAGCGTGAGCAACAGGAGCGCGAACGGGCTACAAAGGAGGCTGAGGACCGGCGACAGCACGCCTTGGAGGCCGGGCAACGAGCACGAGAGCTCATCGAGCAACAAGACGTCGAGGGGACGGCGGTTTTTCGCACCCCCCAGCAGAACGCGGTTGCAGCAATCACCCTTCTCGACACCCTCCTCAAGGAAGACACACTTAATCAGGCCAATCACGTCGTCAACATCTTGAACCAGACTAAGACCATGATCGCCGCTTCGGTCCCGGACAACTCTGCAAGCGTCCGTACGCCGACTGGCAGCCGAGTTCCGCCTCTTCGATCTCAAGATTATCACCACCAAGCCTCAGCGTCGTCGGTGCAGGATCCAGCCGCAGGAGCAGGGATCACGGCGAACGATCCGTCCACTCGCCTCCTGACCAGCACAAGGAGCGTCGGGCTAAACATCCCCGCTCCCCATGTCACAGGCATCCCATCGATCTTCGCGAAACTATCAACCAGCGCCGCGCGGCAAGAGGCTACATCCCCCACCATTCACCAGATCGTTACGACAACAACGTGGATGGAGTTGCTGCCTTCACAAGCGACATGCGTCGAGTGGATTGGCCGGCCGGCTTCAAGCCGACTGGAATCGAGAAGTATGACAGCACCACAAACCCTGAGTCTTGGCTCACCGTCTACAGTCTCACAATCCGCACAGCAGGAGGGGACAGCAAAGCCATGGCAAACTATCTGCCCGTGGCTCTAGCGGATTCTGCCCGATCCTGGCTTCACGGGCTACCCCGTGGCACAATCGGATCTTGGGCGGAGCTTCGCGACCACTTCATCGCCAACTTTCAGGGCACCTTTGAACGCCCGGGCACCCAATTTGATCTCTACAACGTTGTCTAGAAGTCCGGAGAATCCCTTCGAGATTACATCCGACGTTTTTCCGAGCAACGCAACAAGATCTCCGACATCACCGACGACGTCATCATCGCCGCTTTCACCAAGGGCATTCGCCATGATCTCTTAGTCGGCAAGTTTGGCCGCAAGCCTCCCAGGACGGTCAAGCAGATGTTTGAAAAAGCCAATGAGTACGCAAAAGCTGAAGATGCCGTCACCGCATCCAAGCAGTCGGGCACCACCTGGAAGCCGAAGAAAGATACGCCGATTGCAGTGGGGAGTGGAAGTACCAATCACAAGGATCGCAAGCGTAAGCCCGAGGAACTTGTGGCGACTACTACACCGTCCTCCCGACAGCGTTCGCGAGTCAATACTTTCGACAAGATCATGAACTCCCAGTGTCCACATCATCCAAATTCAAATCACGCGGCCAAAGATTGCTTCGTCTACAAACAGTTCGCAGAGCAATACGCCAAGAACGCACGCAAGCCGACTGACGGAGATCAAAGCACGACAAAGAAGAAGGATGATGATGTTGCCCTGACTGGTTTCCAAGACCCTCGCAAGGAACTCAACCATATTGTTGGCGGACCCCTGGCTTATGAATCTAAGCGAAAGCAAAAGCTAACCGAGCGGGAGATCAATGCTGTTCAGCCCGATCCGCCCCAATATCTTCGGTGGTCAGAGACAGTTATCAAGTTTGACCGCTCGGATCATCCTGACCGAGTGGTCCACCCGGGGCGGTACCCCCTGGTACTAGACCCAGTGGTTCGCAACGTCAAGCTTTGACGATCCCTCATCGACGGTGGCAGCGCACTCAATATCCTTTTTGCCAAGACTCTGGACGACATGCAGATCCCTCGCACAGAATTAAAGCCGAGTAATGCGCCCTTTCTTGGAGTCATCCCCCGGCTATCTTCTACTCCACTCGGCCAAATCACTCTGCCGGTTACTTTCGACACTCGGGAGAACTTTCGCACAGAGAACATTTGTTTCGAAGTTGCTGATTTCGAGACAGCGTACCATGCTATACTCGGACGCCCGGCGTTAGCCAAGTTTATGGTTGTCCCACACTATACCTACATGATGATGAAGATACCAGGTCCCCGAGGAGTCATATCCCTGCGGAGCGACATCAAGCAAGCCGTCACTTGCGACAAGGAAAGCTGCGAGATGGCCCAGACCCGCGAGATCACGCTTGCCCGAGAAGAAATCCGACTGGCTGCGTTCACAGCAACCAAAGGAGAAGTGCCTGCAACCAAGATTCCAAAGAGCGGAGAAGACGACGCCAAGACCAAGAAAATTCCTCTAGATCCCTCTGATCCTACTAAGACTGCTGTAATAGGCGCTGAGTTAGATTGTAAATAGGAAAGCGCGCTCATCACCTTTCTTCAAAATAATAAAGATATCTTTGCGTGGAAACCATCTAATATGCCTGGTATTCCTAGAGAGGTGATTGAGCACTCTTTACATGTTAAGGAAGACGCTAAACCTATCAAGCAACGACTCCGCCATTTCGCACAGGATAGGAAGGATGCAATTAAGGAGGAATTGACCAAGCTGTTAGCAGCATGCTTCATCAAGGAAGTTCTACATCCCGACTGGCTGGCAAACCCAGTCCTGGTTCGGAAGAAGACGGGACAATGGCGTATGTGTGTTGACTACACTGACCTCAAACAAATCTTGTCCTAAAGATCCCTTCGGGTTACCTCGCATTGACCAGGTAGTTGATTCAACGGCCGGCTGCGCGTTACTCAGTTTTTTGGATTGCTACTCAGGATATCATCAGATCCGACTAAAGGAGTCCGACTGCTTGAAGACTTCGTTCATCACACCCTTCGGGGCCTATTGCTACATCACCATGCCTTTTGGACTAAAAAATACAGGAGCAACTTATCAACGCATGATCCAGAGATGCTTTTCAACTCAGATCGGTCGCAACGTTGAAGCTTATGTTGATGATGTAGTCGTCAAGACCAAGCAGAAGGAAGATTTGATTGCGGATCTAGAAGAGACCTTTGCGAGCATCTGCGCCTTCAGAATGAAATTAAACCCTTAAAAGTGCATCTTCGGAGTACCGTCAGGGAAGTTGCTTGGTTTTATGGTATCCCATAGGGGCATACAAGCCAACCTGGAGAAAATCAACGCCATCCTCAACATGAAACTGCCGAGCTCCCAGAAAGATGTTCAAAAGTTAACTGGATGCATGGCGGCGCTCAGCCGGTTTGTCTCACGACTCGGCGAGCGGGGATGCCCTTTTTCAAGTTGCTAAAGAAAACCGACAATTTCCAGTGGGGACCCGAAGCACAAAAAGCCATTGAAGATTTCAAGAAACTTCTCACAACTCCACCGGTCTTAGCTTCACCACATCCGCAAGAGCCGCTGTTGCTATACGTGTCGGCAACATCTCAAGTTGTGAGCACGGTCCTGGTTGTTGAGCGTGAAGAATATGGCCATGTTCAAAAAGTCCAGCGACCAATCTATTTCATCAGCGAGGTTTTGGCCGACTCCAAAACAAGATATCCTCAAGTGCAAAAGCTGTTATATGGTGTTTTAATTACCGTTAGAAAATTATCTCATTAGAAAAAAATGCATAATCTACGCCCCGACGGCCACACACGTTGTCCTAATTTGATATTGCCAGCGTCGTGTTTGATTAATTCATATCCCGTAAATCGCCGTAACACGATTCTTGGAGGGATCGAGTGATCCACAAATCGACTGTAACTAAGAAAAAATGTGGCGACGGTATTTTAGCAAAACCGTTCGTGTATATACCGATAACCGTACGGAATCCACATTTATCATTTTCGTTTTCATATTTTCTTAATCAAAATCAGAATCGGAAATCCCAGATATAAAAACGGAATCAAATATTATCAAAAACCGAAAACGGAGCGAAAACGAACCGACGCGAATACGGTAACAAAAATTTATCGAAATAAAAGAACCCTTCAAACTGATAAATTCAATTCTCAAGTCTCAACAGTCAACAATTTATCATAAAATATAATCATATAAATACAATTATATAAATACAATTGTTAAGTCTCAACAGTACATCACAAAACACAATCTATAGAATAAATTATCTAATAGAATAAATTATCTATATTTAAGAGAGTAATGCTGTTGATAAATCCCAATACAGAAAAAAAAATAAATTATCTATATTTAAGAGAGTAATGTTGTTGATAAATCCTAATGCATGAAAAAAAATATTCTTATGTTTGTATGGTTAAAGAAAGAATTAAAATTTTCAAAAACTTTGAAAACATTTCCGGAAAGTTTCTCCGATGAAAACTGCACTTATCATTTTTTATTCCGTTTCCGAAAAATTTCGACCAACATATTCCGTTTCCGTTTTCGAAAATAGATCCGTACCATTTTCACTCCTACTGATAACACATAGCGCACTCGGTCAAATTGTATATTATATTATATTATTTTTTGACAGTATATTATTATATTATTATTGGGGGCCACATTAGTTAATCGATATGTAACAAACAATACAGACACTTAGCTGCGGCACGTAAGTGCTAAGCAGATGTAATACAAAACATTTTCAAGAACAAGAGGTGGGTGGGTATCACGCATTCGCAGAAAACTAACTAAACCAAACTCGGCGTGTCCATGAACATATCTGCAAGACCGACTGCAACTGCAAGGTGCAAAGGTACTAGTACTAGTAGAGTTGCAGTAGATGCAGACTGGATTAATCCTGCTTGGGCGCGTCCTTGGCCTGGTCGGCGGGGATCTGGTGCACCACCTTGGTGGGCTTGAGCACCGGCTCCTGCCCCACCGACTCCTTCACCTCCACCGTCTGCACCGTCTTCGTCACCGCGTCCTTGCCGCCTCCATGCTCCGCTGCCGTCGGTGCCGGCGGAGCTAATTCATCCTTGATATTATATAGTATACATACACAAAGCATCAGATATTCAGATCAGTACAGTACAGTATGCATGTCACGAACTTAGGTACCTTGGTCGTCTTGGGGTCGTTGCTTGTGGTATTGGTGCTCGACATGCCTGCCGCTCTTGCAATTGCAAAGGATCGATCGATCGATGGAGAAATTTTGCCGTGTGCTGTGGGTGAAGTGATCTGATTGGGTTTTTCCGTTTTTGGGTGTCCCTGTAGTGTTGTGCTCTGTGTTTTCGAGCTTGCAGAGGGGGGATGGGGGCGCTTTTGTTGGGGGGGCCGAAGAAACCAGAAGGGGGGGCGAGGTGGCGCTTGGTCGGCTGGCAAAATGGCAAGTGGCAAACACAAGCTCAACACCTGTCGTCCCTATCACTTTCTTTTTCCCATTCTTAATTTTAGCATAAATGAATAATGAATGGCAGCTTCCAAAATGGATATGGGCGCAACGCAAACATAACACTTTACACATCTCGGTATTTTTAGACGAGTGAAATAAAAGAAAATCAAAATCTAATACTACATCCATCCTAAAATATAACAACTTTTAATTGGATGGAGCATTCTAAATACTATGAATATAGACAAAACTATTAATCGGGAAGGAGCCCATTCAGATTAATAGCATTAGGATATGGCTCATCCACCTAAAATTTGGTATATTTTGAGACGGAGGAAGTATAATCAAATTTAACCTATTTAAAACGTTTCTCACTTTGCGATCGTAATCACCTTCTTTCATCCGTAGCTCTGATTTTCACGGCACCTTATCCATCTTCCACCTTATATATATACTCACTATGAGATGGGACGTTTTCTAGAACTACAAATCTGAATCTGGACATGTAAGCTGAATCTGGACAGCACAATATAGGCTGCCTATCCAGGTTAGTAGTACTAGAAAATGTTCTATCCGATTTTAGTTTCATATATTTTAGAACGGCGGGAGTATATGTATAGCTTTAGAAGTAGGAAGAAGTAATCCTCTCTTATTATAAAGTTAGAGCCCACTAAATCCTAAAGATTAACATGCAAAGATGTCACATCATCATCAGCTAACAATTATTACATTAAACATCATGCAAGCATGTTATATTATCTTTGCCTTTATAATTTATAAAATTTTATAACTTTTCAAATGCAAGCATGTTAAATCATCATCTTACATAATGCACATAATATTTCAATATGCCTCTTCATCACTTTCTATAATATCTTATATACCTATATAGTTCATCCTAACTTCTAGTCCGATGCTGCCCTAGCCGCCACTATTGTTGTCAGTGTCGAAGCCAGTGGGTGCAGATTGGCCACTCCCGAGTCCGACGCCAATGGATCTGCTCTCGTGCGGCTTGCCGCCGCTGTCGTCGTTTCCCTAGCAATTGAGGCTAGCGGGGATAGATCCGCCACTCCTGAGTTTCGCGCCGCCTGATCCACCGCTCCCGAGGCTAGGGGCGGTGGATCCACTGCTCCTAGAGTATGGCGCCATCAGATCCGCCGCCGCACGGCTTGTCGTTGTCATCGTCGTCACCTTGTCAGTTGGCGCTGGATCCGCACACAGTGGGGCTGCTCCCGCTGCTACCATCGTCGTGGCTGCGGTGGAGGGAAGGGAGGGGGAGGGGGAGGGGAAGAGCGCCAGATGAGGGGGTGAGGAGAGGAGAAGATAAGGGAGTGGAGTGTAGAGAGATATTTTTAAGAGAGGAAGAATAAAAGAGAGAGAGGGGACGGGACAGCCGGCCGATGCTAAGTGGGTCTCTTAACAAGTCTGTCTATTTATGTAGACGGGCCTATTAAGAGTGCTTGCCTGCAAATATTGATTTATACATACAGACCGGTATTATCACGAGCGGACGATGTTACGGTCTACTTGTAATTTAGAGCGAGGGGGGGGGGGGGGGGCTTGCTCGTGAAAGTCGTTTCATCGTTTAGTGTCTTACTCCCTTTCCGATGGTCAACGTGACGTCAGCAGTGAGCTTCTTTGGTTGTCCCCACCCCGGCGGGAGGTGAATAAGGTAGGCTTTGGGGCAAGCGGCTTGATAAAAGATGCCGTGAAGGATTAATACTTTTAATTAGTGTCCAAACATTCGATGTGGCATGGACTAAAGTTTTTTTAACCACCTCCAAAGACCCTTGACATGTGGGCATGTGTGTTTTTCTTGCTTATTGGATTGCCGCATAGAAAAACGCTCTGCAAAACCATGGAAGGAGGGAAAAGAAAAGAACTGGTATTGATAGCTGAGAGCCACCAAATAGACTTTTCTATTAACTGCAATAATGGTTCGACAGTGTGCGCGTATGGGCTGGCCCAATTACACAGCCAGGCAGCCGCGAACGAACAGAAAAAGAAGAAGAAGAAAAGCAAAGTAAAAAAAAAAACATTAAAACACAGAGACGAGTCGAGTCGAGTCGAGTGGAAGCAAGCGGAAGAAGGGGAGGCAGATCTCCCTCGGCCAACCCCAAGCAGATCCCGACGATGCTGCCCACGACGGCGTCCAAAGGGCGCGGCGCCGCCCGCTCTGCGCCGCCGCTCTTCGGCCCCTACCTCCGCCGCATCGTCAAGGTTCGTCGCTCTCGGATCTCTTTCCCCTCCTCTTTGATCTCTCTCTTCGCAGGCCGTATCACCACATGCTGTCGTTTTAGGAGCCTTCAATTCCACGTTAGGGTTCCACTCCCACCCGAAATGTCAGCTCTCTCTCACTCGCCCTATCACAGATTTTCTTAGCATACCTACCTCATGTGATTGTGTAGGGAGGGGATCTCGTGTTTCAGATTCCTTCACTATTAGTGCTGATCCAGTCGTGTCTTGTCCCGAGTGTGCTGAGGCTTACGGTTGGATGGCCATTCGGAGGTCTCACCTATTTGGTGCCTGTGTGCATCCCCACTTTGGAATTGCTTGGCCATTATTTCTGATTTTTTGCAAATATCTGCATTCTTGGTGCATATATCTTTCAACAAATTTGACTAATTTAAAAAATACTAGGTGATTCGGGGGAGTAGTGCATTAAGTTATATTATTATATGCAATTCTCATTTACCCATGCAATAGTGAGCTGCTGCTGCTGCTGCTGCTGTAAGGGGAGTATAAAATTGATCTTCCCAGGATTACTCTATAAAAGCATGTATACTAACACATCATGAATACTTTATTTTCCATCCTCTGTTGCATTTTTTTTAATTTTGAAACAGGTTTGTGGGGTACTTCTTTACAGCTTACTCTGTGGCGTTATTGTTGAATATTCCTTTGATGCTAACTTTTAACTTTTAAGTTCATCCACAGACGTCAACCTTAGGGGAAACCTGATCGAAAACTATTCAAGCACTGTCTTGTGCTTCCTACTGTTACTACAGTGAATAAATTTGGAAAAATATTCTTGTCTTTTTCTGGTGCAGTCAGTAGATATTCCAACATAGGTTTACAACAAATATATGTGTCTTTCTATGCTCTATATCCATGCATCATCTGTTCTTAAGGTATTTGCAACAATCTAATATTGTTGTTCTCATCAACAGTGGCAACAAATGGATATCGAGTACACATTTTGGCAAATGGTCCATCTCTGTACTTCACCAAAAGTAGTGTATGCATCCTGCCCTCAGTCCTTTCTTCATTGTTCGTATTATTTATTTTGTTACACAAATGCAATCTGCAAATTTTATCATGGTAACAACAAACCTCTTGTATAATGAAATTCTTAATGCCAATGTTGCATAAGTGTGTCACTCAACCTACTAAGTTTTTATTATGGATGCTCTTGTGTGGGCATAACTATCATGGAATGGAACATTGATTTCGATAAATTCTCGAGGAATCTAGTTTTGAACTTTAGTACTTCTATTACCATTACTGTCATAAACCCAGTTCAACGACTGAGCTATAACATGACCACCTAATTCACCTGTGGCTGCATAGAACACTCTGGGTTCGGTTCTGCTGAATGAGCTGAGTTAATTTCAGCACGGAAAACAAGGTGAGCCATCAACACATGATTAATTAACAATCAACTATGATAAACTTGAAAAATGGATTTATTTGATTTTTAAAAGAAACTTCTATATGGAAATTCTTTGCATGAAATGCACCATTAGCAGTTTTGGAAGCATGTTCATGGTAAATGAGGGATTTTCTCAGCCCAACCTCACTTATGAACTCAGCCTTGATTAGCTCATGCTTGCTACAGTTGAGAGATACATCCTCATTTTTAGTTTCACCACTTGAAGTTATTCACTGCTAATGAATTGTCCATTTGCTTCAATTTTCGGTGCTTGATGCACATCTTATTGTTTAAGAACCTGACTGGCTTTTGTCTATTTGTATGCATGTTATGATCCTGGAAGACAGCTATCAGCACACCAAATATCACAAGCGTATGTGGTTTACTTTAACATTATTTGTTACTGCGGAATGTACGATTCATTACCTGTATTCTTTCGATAACCAACTTGTTGCTAAGCTACTCAATTCTATTATTTTGGACATAATATTTCTTGTTATAACCTTGTGATATATATTGGACTATTTTGATATTCCCATAAAATAGCTCTGTGACCATTCTTTCAGCCCTGAGATGCACTTTTTTTTTATCCCGTCATTAACATGCACATGTTTCTACTTGTTCACATTTCCTCTGTACATACCATTCAATCCTGATAACACATTTGCGCAATTTTATTTCTTACTTAAATAGTATACTATCCCGTCAAAGCTGATGTATATTTTTTTTGAAATATGCTACAGAGATAATTTGAGTTGACAATGCTACTGCTATTTCTTTGCTGTATGATCTTGATCGGCAGACATTATCGCTATTTTCTTACTGTGTGAACTTGGCACTGTAGTTCTCGAAGTTAACCCTGTTGAACTATGTTGAAACCACTATTAATTTATCATTTGACATTGGGCAAACATGCCTTGTGCTCATTCTGTGAACGTTCATATGATTATGGAAATTTGATTCATTCTTTACTGTGGCAGCCAATTAATTGCTGTGCATTTCATATTATGGAAAAATCCTGATTTCTCTCAATACTTATTTTCAGAAACAAAGAATCAGTGGGCTCGGGATGATCCTGCTTTTGTTGTCATTCTAATTCTTTTCCTTGTGTTTGCAACATCAGCTTACTGTGCAGCGTGAGTCATTTACATCCTTCTATTTTATTTGCGGGTTCCTCTCCATAGAATATTTGGGAATTTATTTTGCTGTAGAAAGCAAAGATATCTTCTTGACAGTTCAAATCTTTATCTTGCTTGGGACATTCATGTACTTACTTTTATTAGATGTTCCATGTTTTCTCTCTAATTTTCCGTTGTACAGTTAATCCATTGACTTACTTTTACTGGTTCCTCTTATTGAAAAGTAAAATTCTTGTTCTTTAGGTATGGAGAGAGTCCTTCACATGCTGCTTTAACAATCACTTCAGTTGTGCTTGTCCATTTCTTGTTTGCTGGGATAGTTCTGGCCACACTTTGCTGGTATGTATTGCATGTGGTAATGCTCACATCTTTATGGAGCTTAATGGTCTCTGATGATTATGACCATTAATTTTTATAGCTTTTCATTAAGTTATAATAAGGAAACTATTCTAACATGAAAACATCTCTAGTATCGAGTCCATTGATGCGAATTTTACAATAAATCTAGATAGTCTCAAATATAGCTGTCACATTTTAGGTCCTGTTTGAAAGTGATGAAATTTGGATGAATGAGGTGGATGAGATCTACTTGATTATCTCGATATATTAATATTTTGAAAAATAAACTTATCAAACAGCTAGGAACAAGTTGTCTAAGCAACGCAGTAGAATAAAGTTTTTTGAGAAATCATATTTTTAAAAGTGTGGCGCAAATAATCCAGGGTGGATTATAGCTGATCATCATTTCTGAACAGTGTCTTAGAAATGTTGATGACGTGGGTTCTAGGAAAGTAGGACTTTAAATATTGAATGTAGGTAGTCTTAACTGTCAGGCAAAGCCCTGGCAGTATTTTGGTCCCCAAAAAAAAAAAGAATGGAGGTAGTAGTACTACCTTGCCAGCACTTCCTATGAAGTTGAGTGGGAGCAAAATCCAGAATGACCTGATTTGCACTTGTGTCCTTTTTGCTGTCTGTACTCTGTACAAGCTTTTGAGGTATTTATGGTGCTACAGAAAATTGGAAATAACAAAAGTAAGCTTCGAGCTATATGTTTCCAAAATTCTGCAATACACCCAATGTAAATTGAAGCTTTCTAGAGTAGGCCAGTGGGACATTGTTATAAGCTACTATATTATTTTGGAACAGCTTGCTTAACTATTTGGCACCTTTTTCTTATATGGGAGTGCTGCCAGGCCTTTGCCTAGCAATTAAATTTTATAAATTAAAATAACTATACAGAACAAGAGGAGAGCAAAAAGAAATAAACCAAAATTTACAAGCCTTGTAACCAGTCTAAAACTACTTGTTGGAGAGGCTCCTTCATCGTACAAACATGCAGGAGAACTTCCTTCTTAAAACTGCAAACCAACGGTCCACTCCTGGAGACCTTGAAAAATCAGTCCATTTTGTTGCTTCCATATATGCCAACATGCTACAAACATGATCTCCAAAAACCCCTTATGCTGAAACCGATAGCGAGTCCATGCAACCATCTGACAATACCATTTTACACCTTGTAAGGCATATAGCAACTTTGTTGGTTTTAGTCCACCTTTTTGCCTATGGTTTGTTGCAAGCAGCTGTCTTGATCTGACAAGTAATGGCTTTTGTTAAAATACACATGTGGATCTTCAATTGAGAATCAAGAGCTAATTTCTGCTATACTCAAATGCAGGTTTCTTACAAATTCTTACTTGAGGGAGGAACCTAACAGTCATGTGGTTGAGCAACGTGTGGAGTGGTAAATTTTGTGTTCTTTCACCTGTACATATCTATTGACTTATATTGCCATTGTTTACATGGAAGCTAAATTGACAGTAGCCAGTGGCGAACCCAGAACAAAGTTTACCATGGGTCTTATACATACTAATTATCTAATTATTATTCACTGATGTACTAATTAGCATGGCATAAATTAGCTATAATTAGATAATCTACCCAAGGTCTTGTGATCCAGGGAAACTATACGTTGGTACGCCACTGACGGTCAATATCAATAATAATGGGGAGAAATTTTTGCAGGCTCTATGCATTTGATGTTCATTGCAACTCATTCTTCCCAGCCTTTGTCATCCTATATGGTAATATTAAGTAAATGTGCTGTGTATTTGAATACTGGCTGTAATGTTCATGTATCTGACAGTTTTTCTCCTCAGTGCTTCAATATTTTCTATCGCCTCTGTTGGTCGCACATGGCTTCTTTCCTGCTCTATTATCAAACCTCTTGTTTGTGGTGGCAATTTCTTATTATCACTACCTGAATTTTCTAGGATATGATGGTAAGTTCAGTTTTTTACTAATTTAACTTTGCTGCAATGTGTGGCTGTGCTACTCCTAACAAAAGAATTGGTCTTTGTGTGTAGTTCTTCCATTTTTGGACAGAACAACATTTTTCTTGTACCCGATTGGGCTTGTCATCATTCTCTCTCCACTGAGTAAGTTCATTTTATGCAGTACTGATTACTGAGTTAACCACATGGCAATTGTCACATATTTTTTCACGTCTTGCAGTGATACTCATAGGGTTCAATCCAACAAGATACTTTTTGAGCTTGTACTTCCGTTAAGGTCGATAACTAGAACAGTAAGAGAAGACTGGTGACAAAACTAATGGCAGATTGGGTACACACTTTTTACTCTAGCTTCTTAAATCTTTGTGTGAATTTGAGGAGAGTGAGGCTCAGGAAAAGGTCGATTTGTTCTTGAGATATATTACTGCCAGCGTGGGCCACGGGCACAGGCCTTTTGGTTGGAGCCCATTTTGGTGTCAACTTGTTCATAATATGTATTGTTTCCATTGATTAAAGAGTCAAGGACCAGTGTACAATTTTAGTGGGAACCGGAACTTAAGCCGATTGTATCGAAGGGGCACCAACATTGTAATCCACCTGCCTAAGAATCATGAGTTTTTAGTGGCATATTTCCTTTGATTGCAGATAGCACGGTTAAGCATCAGGGCGTGGGTTATTGCCTTGTTGGTTTATAAGAAAAAAAATAGCATTCTTCATTAAACATATCGAACCAAAGTTTCACTTCATACTGTGTTTATTTTAGATTCAAACATTTGTATAATGTAGTTAGAAGTGACGTATTCTGTCACGGCTGCTGGTTGAACGAGGTTACCAAATAAATCGACATCTAATTTCTTTATTTTTTTATTTTTGGAAAAGTGGTTTGTAGTTTCTCTAAAAAAGTTGAGAAAGAAGAGAACAGAAAATAAAGAGTTGAAAAATTTTCCCAGTTAAAGGAGAGAACAGTGAAAAAGGAGTTAGAAAAATTAAATAGTATCCAATCGGTGAGGAATACAACGGGGCAAGGCAATCCTCTTGTGGAAATGCTACTGGCAAGCGATCGCCCTCGCTCGCCCAGGGTGATCAGATTCCCCCTTCTCCCTTTGGTCTTCTTTTTTTTTTTTGGCACCGTATTACTTTAATATTTTAGTAAATTTATGCCCCTAAAGTTTATACACCTCAAGTTTGTACATCTAAAGTTTAGAGACCAAAAGTTTATAAGTCAAAAGTTTATATCCGATTCAAATTTAAATTTGAATTCAAATATTTTTTATATATAATATTTCTATACATCTAAAGTTTATACACCTAAAGTTTATAAACCTAAAGTTTATATATCCGATTCAAATTTGAATTTGAATTCAAATATTTTTCATATATAGTATTTCTATACACCTAAAGTTTATAGACCTAAAGTTTATATACCCGATTCAAATTTGAATTTGAATTATATCCGATTCAAATTTGAATTTGAATTCAAATATTTTCTATATATAGTATTTGTATACATCTAAAGTTTATACCCCTAAAGTTTATAGATCCAAAGTTTATAAGTCAAAAGTTTACATACCCGATTCAAATTTGAATTTGAATTCAAATTTTTTATACATAAATTTTTCTAACTTTTTGTTTTTTTTAAATTTTTTTGTGGTGCAATGTAATAGGAAGAGGAGAAGGGGAGGAGGAAGGAGAGAAGTGGGAGGAGTGCCTATGGGGGGGATCCGATTGCTGGGCGATCGCCCTGGCGATCTATCGCCCATTAGGCCCCCCATCCTCTTGTCTGCTCTGCTCTTCTCATTTCCGCAATTAATTTTGGCTCGGGGAAAAATTGACGTGTGGTAGGCTACTCTATAAAAAGCTCCTCGTGTATATACATAATCTCGAATAGACCCTTATTGCATCACCTGATGATATGTTGCTTTTGTTTTGAAAAGATCATCATATTTACATGAAATACAATGCAAAGAAGTAACAATCAGGCCCGGCCCCAAAATGTTGGGGCCCCCACCTACCAACTTCATTAGAGATGTAATTAGGCAGATGAAATCAAATCAGCGCTAAGACCGTAAAACTATAATTGTGTGCCCACTGCCCACAAGGCCACAAGATTGCAAACTACTACGAGCGATGTGCGACTATCGGTTACTCTTCAATAAATTGATTGTATGATTACGACGTGTACTAATGTTTGGTTTCTTCTACAAACATCTTTAACATGCAATTTCTTTTCAAGTTTGCAGAAATAATGATTTGTTTGAATTAGTTATATGTTTTTTAAGATATGTAATCCATACGAGGTCAAACACTAATACATTATTTTCAATTATTAGCCCGTTCTTGATATCATGTCATCGGAAAATTAAATGAACAATTTGACAACTTTATGCCTTGAGAAGAAAATGCTAGATACTTTTGTAAAATAAGAAATTGCTAGATAAGATTGATATTGATCCTACAGTCAATTGCTTCGTACCCAGAAATGTGAATAATTTTGGGTAATAATTTTGACTCATCTGTTGGATCAAATCTATTGGTGACAGGCTCCATTTTTGACCTGATTAAGATAACTGTCCGTGACGGCCAAATGCCCGATAGAAATGACTTCTCACATCTGTGAGTTTTGATTTGTGACGGAAGCCTGTCCCGACACAGATGAGTGTTTCCGCCCGATTAAGATGACCTATCCCATACTAGTGTGCCCATTCTCTTCGGCCACATCAATGCTCGTCGGCTCTATATATATCATGTGTTGCCGACCAGATGAACGTTGTTTCCTTATTTTTCTGCATGTGATTTTACTAGTATAGAGTAAATCTAGTATAAAGGAGCTCCATTTCCATTGATTCTGATCGTGCACCTTTCACGCCCAGAGGCAGCTGTATCTGTGTGGTACCATATAAACGAGTTTAACTTGTTTTTTTTTTTAACTTCATAAAAAAAGAAAAATCAACTTTGCGTAAGTGCAGCTGCTGATTTGTAATCTTTTTTTTAATTATTTTTCATATTACAAGAGTTTTTGGGTTAGTTTTATGCATATGGAATCTATGTATCTAAGAGCAAAGGCCAGAGAATTGAAGGAGCTGATTCAGAAGCAGAAATAACGGACTTGTGAAGACCGTGAAGAGGTAAAGGAGGGAGGTCAGTTGGACGCCATGCACATACGAATATGAAATGATAATAACGGTTATTTTTGTTCTGTTCAGTACACTTATAGTCGATATTTTGGAAGCGATCGATTTGTCACTATAAAAACCATTTTTCGTTACATATCACTTTTATTTTTACTAATAGACAAAGACACGCTTGTAAAAAAAATATTATTAGAGGGTTTCCAATCACGAACCACCAGTAAAAATGGATCTTCTCTAGCGGCCATTTAAAAGATATGCTTTCTACGTTTACAAGCGGACCTCTTAACCAAACAGCCAACGGAAATCGATTTTTCACTAACGGCTACTAAAGAGGACCGCTTAAGAAAATCACTCTATTAAATAACGCCTTCTCGACTTCTCCCCAGACCTGATGGTCATTCACCTCTCTCACTCATCTCTCCTCCTCGGCTTCTCCCGAGCCTCTTCTCCCTCCTCTCCCCATACCTCTCTAGCCTTGAGGTGTGACGGCAATGGGAGGCGAATCCGGTGGTGGGATGGGAGGAGATCGGTGGCGGTAGAGCAGCAGAGGGAGTGGCGGCAGCAGCGACGGCGACCCTTCCCTCTCCCTGATCTGTTGGTGGGATGGAAGGAGATTAGTGGCTGTGGCGCAGCAGAGGAAGTGGTGGCGGTGACCCTACCCTCCCCTTCCTTCCCTCTCCCAGACCTGGTGGTGGGATGGGAGGAGGCCGGTGGCGGTGGCACACAGCAGAGGGATTGGCGACAGAGGGAGGAGGCCGCCGCCACCGCCGCCGCATCCGCAGAGGGAGTGGTGGCGGTGACCCTACACTCCCCTCCCTTCCTAGATCTAGCCTCCAGGTGCATGCTCTCAATGACAGCAGCTCCCTCCACGCTCAAGGTACTCTCAGCAACAGTGGATGCGGCGACGATGGGGGCGAATCTGGTAGCAGGATAGGAGGAGAACGACAATGGTGGAAGCAGTAGAGGGGGCACCAACAGCAGCTTCCCCACTCCCCTCCCCTCCCCACCGTCTCCCAGATCTGGCCGGAGGGAGGTAGACGGCGAGTGGTGGCCACACATATACCGGAGTGAGGTATTTCATGTCCTCCCAACCCCCCACACGGATGCACCTATAACCCCTTACAGTTGCTGGTTTATTAAAAAGTTTAGTACATATATGAAAAAAATTATGTATATGTATATGTGTGCAGATCAAATATTATGTGTACCTTTCTTAATAAACCAGTACCTATACAAAGATACATGTGCAAAATAAGGGAGCAGTTGAGGCTCGAGCCGAGCTGACGACACGTGCGAGCCCACCTCGGTTCATCCCGAGCCAACCCCCTCAGTGTTATCCAAACCCTCGATCTTATCTCCCTAACCCTGCTCCTCTCTTTCCTACTCAATCTTATCACCCCATTTCCCCAGCCATTCACCTCCCTCTGGTTGGTTTAATTGTCGTTATTTGATCCTACAGATGCATTGAGCTAGCTATATATTTTTCTGATTTGTGAAACCTATAAAAAGTGTCGGTGATTCTACTCATAAGTGCCGCAATGGTAAAGTAAGGTGCTCTCTATAAAACATGTACATCTCAGCAATAGACTAGATTAATAGTAAATCACCTCAATAGTATGTCTACATCGGTATCTATAGCTCTCTAATGCATTGCCTCGTTTTTCTCTATAGACTATCTCCAAGTTAGTAGATAGTTTTGCTCTCTCTTCATTTAATATCTTCCAGTAAGAAAATATGCTGACATGTATCTCTTGTAGAGAGCCTATAGATAACCATTGCGGGTGCCCTAATGAGGTGTTTGTTGGAAATCTAGCATCTATAGAGATTCCCAACCGGCACCTATTGATATTTTTTAAGTAGGGTATGATTAGACATGTCAGTACGGGCCTACGGGGTGTATATGTACAGCTATTTGCCGACATGGATCGCTTAGCCAAATTGCTGCTCGTTTGTCAAGTTCTTACTTACGACCAAGAGTAACCATGCACCTGCCAATTTATACCACGAGCAGAATTTACTCTAACTAAAGAAGAAACATCACAACGACAAACTCGGGACAGCTTTATTAGTTGAATCCTCAAAAGTTATATTTGGCTATACGACATAACGTTCCCAGATCAGAATTCAGATGCATCCATGCATCAAATGTTATTTCAGATGCAACCATGCATGCATGCATGGTGCTTAATTAATTATCTTAGTCATCATTTTGACGGCGATCCGACTGGGCAGCAGCACTTGCTAATATCGGTGCAGTGGGCTCCTGGCTTATAGCCGCAGACTTGGCTGCACCTCGAAAATATGCAGTTCAGAAGAGTCCTCACAACGCAATCTGCAGCGTAAGTATATAACATGTTAGATAATTTCGCCATATTAATTGTCAAAAATTACCCAAATGCAACACAAGTACTAGTAAAGATACTTTTAACCCCTTGGGTTTAGATCCGATCGCTTGGCCCATGCGGCTCTGCCCATGTTTAACATATTAATTTTTAAATCAATTTTTTTAGTACATATGATAAGGAATTATGCCATAGTTTGAAAAAAATAACACTTAAAAAGGCTGAATGTAATCTAAACTACTTAAAGCACTTACCACACATTGTTCACCCCAGGAAAGATCGAAAATTCAGAAAGACAAAATTATAAATAAAATCATGCATAAACAAATTGCAATGGTCATGTTGATGATCGAGAGATGAAATGAAGAGTAATAACACCTTGGTCCGCATCACATGAGGAGAGAAGAGAAGCCAGGATCACGAGAGCCGCCAAGAACAGGGCAGTGGTGTTCTTCTTGAAGATTGCCATCATGGAAAAGATACCTATACCTTTTTGATCTCTTCTTTCTGATTTGTTGTACAGCTATAATGATCTCTCTTTATATAGAGGCGCCGGCAGACATTACGGCTAATTAAAACATTAAAAGCCGTAATTGTTTGCGGGAATTAAGAGCGGTAAATCAATAGTAATGTTATATCGTGTACGAATCGCGGAGGATAAACTTCCTTATGAAAGGTGGATTGTATCTCAGCGTTCTTTATACTTTTAAATACAGCTTTGCAACCTGACTATTCTATCATATCCCGGATTTTTTTTATTCGTAATAACAATTACTAGTGGCAGAATTAAGAGTAAATTGCACCCACGGTGCAACAACTTGGCAGGTGGGTGTAATTTGATGTAATAACTTGAAAAATGAGCATTCTAGTACAACAACTTGGCAAGAAGGTGCAATTTAGTATAAGAATTTTATAAGTGATCGTATAAATACAACAACTTGCAAGGTAGGTACAATACAATAAATTAAGAAGTTGTGTGACAACTTAATTATTTGAAGCATTTTTTATATAAATTCAAATTTTTAAGTACTTATTTTTACAATATACTAGTGTGGATTTGTATAAACATATTTATATTTTTATCCTAATAACTAATAACTGAAAGTCAATTAAACTGGATGCAGAAATTATTATATTTGGTTGATATTTGAGAAGGTGAAGAAAACAAAAAAAAATTCTTTAAGGTAACTGAATGTAAATTGTATGTGCAATATAATTCTTAAAGATTAAATTTAATATTATAAGGTAATATCATAGTATTACTGTGTATTGGCATATTGACATCGTGAAAAAACTCACCTAGCATATGCTTAGCCAAATTGATTCACCAAAATACTAAATTGTTAAGTTTTTGTACTAGAACGCACCCACTTGTCAAGTTATTGCACTCGGACGTTCAATTCTCAAGTTCTTGCACTATATCGCACCCACCTGTCAAGTTGTTGTACCGTGGGTGCAATTTACTCCAGAATTAAATATGTACTCCCTTCGTTTCAGAATACAAATATTTCTAGCTATGAATCTGGTTATACATATATCTAGATTTTGGGATGGAGGTAGTAGTAATTGTAAAGAAGAAATTAGAAAAATATGGTAAGATGCTGGCTGGTACAGCGTCCACACGCGGGCGAGCGCCAAGCATATCTCCATGACTACGTAACTTTCCTGTGGTGGGCTCGTGAATAGAATAAGGTGTAAACGGTTTCTAATCTATATCTATACTACTATAAAAATAAGGAGTTGTGCCTAACAATCCTATAGCATCCATTCATTCGCCAGGTAAAATAATCTCATCCATTAATCTGCTGAAATGAAGTCTTCCACCGAATCCATCTTCGGCGAACCCGTGCTATCCACGGCCGCACCACCGCTCTTTCCACGCACCCGGCCTAATTACTCTGCCCCCTTTCCCCGTGCTACTCGCTGCCACCCCTCCTCGCGTGTTCCCCCTTCTGCTGGACTACCACCCGGGACCCACGCAGCCACGCGCGTACGCGCTGACCCCGCCGTGACACCTCACCACCCCATCGTGGCACTCCCGGCGCCGCGCGCGCCATCCTCTCACGATAATATCGCTGCCGCCTATTCCTCCCGGACAACACATCCTCCAATCACTGTGCACATTCCCCATCTGCAGTCTACGGCGCGCCTCCTCTCCCTGGAAATCGCATCCTCCCGTCGCAAATCACATCCTCCAGCCGCGGAATCACCAGAAATCGATTCCTCTTGCCCACGGACGACACTTCTCGCATTCTCTCTAGCTGTGGAGATAATTAGTTTTTTTTATTCGTGTCCGAAAACCTCTTTCAATATCCGGTCAAACGTCCGATCTAACATCCAAAAATTTTCTTTCACGAACCAAAAGGGCCCTAATTAAAACATTAAAAGCCGTAATTGTTTGCGGGAATTAAGAGCGGTAAATCAATAGTACTGTTATATCGTGTACGAATTGCGGAGGATAAACTTCCTTATGAAAGGTGGATTCTATCTCAGCGTTCTTTATGCTTTTAAATACAGCTTTGCAACCTGACTATTCTATCATATCCCGGATTTTTTTATTCATAATAACAATTACTAACGGCAGAATTAAATATGTACTCCCTTCATTTCAGAATACAAGTATTTCTAGCTATGAATCTGGTCACACATATGTGTAGATTTTGGGGTGGAGGTAGTAGTAATGGTAAAGAAGGAATTAGAAAAATATGGTAAGATGCTGGCTGGTAGAGCGTCCACACGCGGGCGAGCCCCGAGCATATCTCCATGACCATGGCCCTCTTTAGATCCTCCGGGCTATTAAATAGCCCTCTAGAATCTTGCTATTTAGGAGTATTAAATGTAGATTACTAACAAAACCCATTCCATAACCTCTGGGCTATTTTGCGAGACGAATCTAATGATGTATATTAATCCATCATTAGCGGATGATGGATTAATATACCTCGTTAGATTCGTCTCGCAAAATAGCCTAGGAGTTATAGAATTGGTTTTGTCAGTAATCTACGTTTAATACTCCTAAATAGCAAGATTTCGGAGGGCTATTTAATAGCCCGGAGGATCCAAACAAGGCCCATGTAACTTTCCTGTGGTGGGCTGGTGAACAGCCTAAGGGTGTAAACGGTTTCTAATCTATATCTATATCTATACTAATATAAAAATGAGGAGTTATGCCTAGCAATTCTACAGCATCCATCCATTCGCCAGGTAAAATAATCTGATCCATTAATCCACTGAAATGAAATCTTCCACCGAATCCATCTTCAGTGACCCCGCGCTATCCATGGTCGCACCACCGCTCTTTCCACACGCTCGGCCTGATTACTCTGCCCCCTTTCCCCGCGCTACTCGCTGCCGCCCCTCCTCGCGTGTTCCCCCTTCCACTGGATTACCGCCCGGGACCCACCGCAGCTAGGCGCGTACGTGCTGACCCCGCTGTGACACCTCACCACCCCATCGTGGCACCCCCGGCGCCGCGCGCGCCATCCTCTCACGATAATAACGCTGCAGCCTATTCCTCCCGAACGACACATCCTCCAGCCACTGCGCACATTCCCCATCCACAGTCTACGGCGCCTCCTCTCCTCGGAAATCGCATCCTCCCGTCGCAAATCACATCCTACAGCCGCGGAATCACCGGAAATCGATTCCTCTCGCCGACGGACGACACTTCTCGCATTCTCTCCAGCCGCGGAATCGCCGGAAATCGTTTCCTCCCGCCGCGGACGACACTTCTCGCATCCTCCCCAGCTGTGGTGGTCTGCCCTTCAGCTGGCGGGGCTGCTCCATCTCCGTATCCACCGTAATCGATGGCCCAGTGTTCCCCCTAGGCCCTCCACTGCTGATGCCGCCGTCCCGGACCTCTCTGCCGTCGAGTCTTCCATCCTGGTCCGCTCTGCTGCCGACACATCCGGCCTTGCCGCTGCCACTTCTCCCAGCGGAGGTGAACAATGAATCTGAGAAGAAGTCGGTGGCCTTTTGTCCTTTTTCCTGCGCGACGGTACAAGAGTGACATCTGCTATAAATCCAAAAACCTCAACCTGTGAGTTTTCTCTTCCCAGTGTCTCTCTCATCATCAATGGTAAAATTCACCCACGCCTTACCGTAGCAGCGATAGCGTGGATAAATTGAGCGAGGGAGATTATTTTGTACAGCTTCTCATTGTTGTTTAATGTCATGTATAGCATGCTTTTATCATTTTGATTGGATGCTAATTTAGTTTGCCATACTAAACGAAACAACTCATAGTTCATATACTTTTTTCTCGGTTGCCTTTCTCTAATCTGTTCTTGTTCCATGAATCTCTCATGTTTCTTATACATAGCAATTCATATGTATGCAAAAAGCATGGCAACCCTTTATCTAAAGTTATTTTTCTTTAAAAAAAAATCCTTACTGTGGTTAGTCTTTTGACGAGGCTATATGAAATGACTTTTTTTTTCTTTTGGCTATTTCTGTCATTGACAACCTTTTCAATTCAATAGATGATGAAAAGCAAGAATGTTCAGAAAATATGATTATGCCTGGTTCTGACAGTTTATTATACTTTCTAATTTTTAAATGTAATTTATATTTTATACTTCCTAAATTTTTAAACGTGATTTGCACGTGCACGATTCCTAGTAATACAAATGAATGGGTAACCCACGGCTACCATCTTACCCAGTCCCTCGCATCGATCCAGGTATAGCCTGATGCCTAAAGTCGATCGAATTCCTACGCAAGCCTATCTATGAGTCTCATCTTTTCGCTTATGCTTATGCTTATTAGCTAAAATTTGAATTTCAATCTTAAATAAATTTGGAGTTGATTTTGAAGGGTTTTTTTATCGAAGTTTATTTTTCAATCTTTGTTAGCTCACTAAGAACACGTATATAAAAGCTTTATTCACAAATAATTTTTTATTTGTAAATATGCCGTTTGGTTTATTTCATAGATAAGCCAAACGATGGCACGGTACGTCTGTGACTTGCCCTGATCGTTTGTTTACTCTCTCGGCATGGATGATGCCCTGTTGTCTATCCTCCTCACATATCGGGGGCTGTCGAATAGCCTGAGTCTGTTGTGGTCCAATCAAGTTTTGAGGGCTCAGGGTGCATAACTACCTGCAGATGATGGGCACGATGTCCCAGATCGGCATCGGCCTTGGGAAGGACAATGATCTGCCAACTGGGCAATGGCAGATCACTTGTGTTCTGGGAAGACAGATGGCTGGCTGCATGCAAGGAAGATGCGCCAAAGAGCTGGCGCCGGTGGTCACGATCAAGAACGGTTGCCGAAGCGCTATGCATTCTCCAGCCTGCCAATGGAATTGATCATGGATATACTCCAGGGCATTAGGTATTAAGTTACATGCACTGATCAGTTCAACCTAAAAGTTTCGTGGAATAGAAGTGGGCTGTAATTTTTATTTAATTGCGCGCCTGTCAGGATTCGAACTCGAGACCTCCGGCTCTGATACTATATTAAGTTGCATGCACCGACCAGTTTAACCCAAAACTTATATTTCA